ATTTTGGTGACGATCCGATACCAAGTAAATCAAGAGCAGTATTGCCGATACCAATACTGATACTTATACTTTTAACCTATAAAGGTTATGCAGGGGAGAGCAGCATGTTATGATTTATGTGCTGAATCATTGTACATTTGCCAAATAGTTTAGAGGGATACAGTGAGGTTAGGTTAATTGGTGATTCTAAATTGCCCATAGGTGTAAATGTCAGTGTGAATGATCTCTTCTTGGTAGCCCTGAGATAGATTGTTGAGCTGTCCAGAGCGTCCCCTGCCTCTTGGCCTAAGACAGGTTGGATAGACAGTTCGGATTGGATGAATAATAGGTCCGCTTTAAGCATGTTTAGTGATGATGATGATGATGATGATGATGGGCTGCCGATATTTTTTATATTTTCTTCAACTTCGCACAGTAGTTTTATTAGGATATTCTAAACTTCACAGCCACCGTTTATCACAGAGCTGTTGTTTTAGATTACATGGAAATGCACAGCTACCCTGTATGTTATACTATATTACAGCTTACAACCACGTACGCCGTCTCCATTGTAGATTTATGACTGGATTAACAGAACTGCACAAGACAATCCCAGAAGAGTGAAAGCCATCCTTATTGGTTCTTCATACGAGAAGCGGCCGCTATACGTTCTCAAGGTAAAGCTGCATCCGTCAACTTGAACTTGTAGGAATGATAAGACTGTCCCATATTTACAAAACAGAAAGTTTTTGTTCATTCACAGAAAACAGATCATGGTAAGAAAAAAAACCCAGGAACATTTCTGTCATTTCATTGATTATGTATTACTTAATTACTTTGGTATCGTTAAGAAAATGCAGTTAAAAGTCTAAAATGTATGCCCTCCATCAGATTTTCCAAAGCCATCCGGTGGGCTGGGTTGGAGTCTTTTGCTGGGCTAATTTTGGCCCTCGAACCTTATGTTTAACACTCACAGACCTTTTTTTTTTACTCTTTGTACACTTATAGGGGTAAATAATCAACATTGTTTATCCCATTAAACATACTTTAAGCTGTAAAGTGTTCAGTGTTGACAGCTCAGTTTACTTCCTGAGCACAGATTCATGTGTATGGCCTCTTTTTTTCTCAGCTGTCTTTCAATGACAGGCCAAATAGGAAAGCCATGTGGATTGACTGTGGGATCCACGCAAGAGAGTGGATTTCTCCGGCTTTCTGCTTGTGGTTTGTGCACCACGTGAGTCCAACTGAGCTGCGGTGTCTGCGTTTGTTCTCTGTTCTCTGTAATCGATTACATTTGTTTGTTTGTCTGTCTGTTTCTTTGTTAGCAGTTTCTAGTCACCACAGTGTTCAAGATATCATTTTCAAATTTTGTTTGATGGTAGATACCAGTAACAGCTCAAAATGATTTAATTTTGGTGCTAATCTGGTCAACCCCACGGTCACACCAAATGTGAAAGTCATTCAAAACTGTATATTACCCACAGCTTCTTATGGATCACAATACATTATCTTATAGGAGCCAAAGTTCCAATCATATGGGTACAATACAATACACCATTTTAGTATGTACTGCGTCAAGGTCATAGGTCAAAGGTCAGGATCACATCAAATGAAGCTTTATGAAAAAGCTTTAGTTTCCACTGGATCATCTCCAAACTTAAAGCAACAAATTAAGACGTATAACTTCACAATGACAGAAAAAGACTAATACACTACACTAGATTTCCATATTGACAATGCTGACATCAAACTTTATTTTAGCCCTTGCCTTTGATGGGGAGTTGAGCTCTCTAAATGCTCTTTGTTGTAAATGCAATGGAGTCTGCTCTCTCTCGGAGCAGTTTCACTGAACGCTCCGCCGTCTGTCCGTCAGTCTTTGTCATTTTATCAGCAAAACTCGGAAATTACTCGCATCCTGGACAGCATGGATGTCTACGTCCTGCCTGTGATGAATCCTGATGGATACAAATACACGTGGACGGCAGTAAGAACTCAGAATCATTTTTTCAATGTAAAAGAAGTCATTTTAAATAGATGTATGATTTTTCCTTATTTTTATTTTTCAGATTAAGAGAAGGTGGTGGAGGAAGAACCGTTCCATCAGTAAGTCGGGTTTTTGCGTTGGCGTTGACCTCAACAGAAACTTTGATGTTGATTGGGGCAGTAAGTTTTCTTTTCCCTTTTTTTTCTCATGCGTGGACGCACTCGTTGATCATGCAAGGGTCTCTGTAGCTTCCACAAGGTCACGTGTCGCTGTTGTGCCCAGTTAAGGGATCCTCTCAAAATCCTTGTGAGGAAATCAACTGCGGGCCGTTTCCTGAGTCTGAGCCCGAGGCGCAGGCTGTGGCCAACTTCCTGCGCAGACACAAGGACACAGTTCAACTCTACATCACCATCCACTCCTACTCCCAGATGTTCATCTTCCCATATTCCTACACCTTTGATCAAGCGGAGAACCACAACGATTTGGTGAGTAGTCTGGATGATCCACGAGTCTATCCAACAGCAGTGAAAGACTTATTCAACTGTTGTGTCTAAACCTCTGTGAACACACATTGTTCATAAGCTTGAGATGGTCCAAGAAGCTGCCCAGAGGATCAAACGATATTACAGGAACACCTACACATATGGTCCTGGAGCAGCCACATTATGTAAGACAGCCTTTTTTCTTTTTCGTTGTTTTAAAGCAAAGTCACTGTAACTTGAATGTGTGAGTGTTTCTATTCTTTCTTCAGACCCATGTTCTGGCGGCTCTGACGACTGGGCGTACAAACTTGGCATCAAATACTCCTTTACGTTTGAGCTCCAGGACCGTGGGGAATACGGCTTCCTGTTACCACCTTCTCACATATCCGGGGCCTGCAACGAAGCGCTGCTTGCGGTCAAGACCATTGCTGTCAAGGTTTTGGAGAAAACACAAGCTCCGGCAAACCATCACACGATCTAAGCAGTTTTGTGATTGTAACTAAACAAATTTTGTAAGTTTCACTTGAGGATCAGCTAACTTGTAACCTGTGTTCAGCACAGCTGTTATTTGTGGTATTTCTGTTTCTGGAGTCCTCTAATGTAACGTCTGTCTTGCAGAGATTGAGTGGAACTGAAATGTATGGATCCAAAAACATTAGTTGACAGAAAAACTGTTTTAAAAGAAGTAAAAAAAATAAGTAATGGTGTTAATGATGTACTTACCCTGAATAAAACATGATCCATAGAAAATCAACTTCTCTGTAATTTAATTTCATAATATGAAAAACACTTTTTCTTACTATTAATACTAATATTAATTTTATACCAATGTTTTACTCTTTTAAAATGAAAGTATTTGTCATGGCAACCATGCCATCCTGCTGTAATGCCACAATTTTCAAATTTAAATAGATTAGTCCAACTAAATAAGCTAAGGTCCTGTGACACCTTGGCTTATTTTAGACCTATTTCAAGATTCAAGGTCTTTATTGTCAATACAAAAATATACACAGTATTCAGCGTATTGAAATGCTGTTTCACCTCAAGCCCCCCATGGTGCATTTATAAGAATGTGTGATAAACAAGGACAGGACAAAAGACAATACAAAGTGATCGTGTGCAGTTACAGTGAAGTGAGATGTTGTGCAGTTATTATTGAATACCGGGTTCAAGTGATGGTCAGGATATTGTGGACAAGACGAAACAAAGACGTGCAAGATGTAAAATATGCAAATATAGCATTATGTGGAGGGGGGAGATGGGTGGGAGAGGGCCTCCAATGATCCTGTCTGCTGTCCTCACTAGCCGCTGCAGAGACTTCTTTCCCTGGTAAAAGGATGGGAGGGTGGGAGGAAGCAGACTGGCCTTCTTCAGCTTCCGAAGAAAGTGAAGATGTTGTTGGGCTTTCTTCGTGATGGTGGTGGTCATCTGACATGTGCACACCCAAGAACTTCACATTGTTGACCATCTCAACAGCACATCCATTGATGTGCAGTGAGGTGTGGGCTGCTGAGCTCTTCCTGAAGTATTTGATCTCCTCCCAACTTCTTTTTTTGCATATTTGTCACACTGAAATATTTCAAATCATCAAACACTCGGGCCTGATTACTACCAGACCTGTCGAATCAAGAAAGCACTCACACAGAACATCTCTGACAAAGTGAAGTAGATCTCAAAAAGCAATGCATCATACCACAATCTAAAGAAACAGATGAGTAAAGAGGTCACTGACATCTAGAATATCCACAAAGACAGCATGCATACAGGAATAAAGGCAGGGATTGAACCACCAATCTATATATAAATTACTCAGGGTTAGTTGTGTCTCAGGAGGAGAGCCACAGCCACATGTCTAGTGTCTGTGACGGTGTCTTCTCCTGCGAGTGCGGACACTGGGGGCCTTGTGGGGTCTTCAGCGTCTGCGAATGGAGGAAAAGACCTTGTCTGTTACAGTTGCAGCAGGTACACCTGTGATTATGAATATCCATTACAGTTGTCTGCAGTACCTGCTCCATGTCATGGGTTCTATTTATAAACTCACCTGGCAACTTTAGTGATGCCACTGATGTTGGGACTATTGGTGTGACACTATACATCATTTATGCCAGTATCTGAACTCTGGTGTAAATGAGGTCACAGAGGGATGAAGGGTTTAGGTCACAGCTCCCCGCTGCTGGCCGCGAAGGATTACCGCTCACTCGCAGAAGAAACGCATCGTTCCCGACTGACCGATGGAATCTCCCGCGCCCACACTGATTCTCCTGAGGGCCTCTGACTCATCGATGGTGGCTGGGATCAAGGCGCCGTGGCACTGTTGAAAAGGCCTGTGTTTTTTACCATCACCAGTTAGTTTATTACATTCAGAGAAGTATTTTAATATGTTTTATTGATAAATGTTCTCTCAGCCTGTGGAAATGCTTTCCATTGGCTGAGCACAGAGACTTTCTGTCACACAATCTTCCACCAGTTTCGTCCCTGTTAACCTGTGGGTGTTGATTGGGTGACCAATTCCATCAAGAGCCTGGGACGGTGGTATAATGCAGACCTCAGTGATACCTGGCAACTTGAACAACTAAGGCAGAACATGGCTAATGACCTCAGGCGGATTAACAACACTGCACTCCCAGGGAAACTGAAGCTCTGGTGCTTCCAGTTTGGGTTGTTACCCAGACTACTGTGGCCGCTGACAATGTACGAGGTCTTGCTCAATCATGCCAATCGATTGTTCCTTATCGTCCTAATTAATTTCCTCTTATGGCAAATTAATGACACATTGGGAGGATTTGTGTTTATGTACAACTGTTTGAACTTTTGACCCCACACTTTCTTATAAATGGCTCCAAAAGTCATTTAGACTATTATAAACACACAATGAGTTTCTCAGATCTTCCTGTTGTTGTGAGTAACATCAATCCAATGAGTACTGTCAAAGAAATTCATTTTAGGCAGGTGTAGTAAGGACTTCTTTGTGGAAAATATTACACTTGTGTGTATTGCTTGTGAATTCCACCAACTGTTCAGTGTCATTTGGCATGTTAAGTTCATCTTGGTCACAGACATGTAGAGTTAATCTATCTAGATTAGCTGCTGGATCACATTTAATGATTCCTTTTCTGCCTGGCAGCTGTCGACCGTGTTCATTTCCCTTGTAGTTCTTTGGCTGTTTAATGCTTAATGGGAAGAAGGATTGTAGTAGGAGGTCTAGTAGGAGGTTGAGAGATATGGAGCCAGCGAGGAAGAGAGGAGGTTCTGTCATGTGGGAGCATTTTGAGTTGATTTTGCCCAATCGGGTCAGTTTGCCAGCTTTCTGTTCTTGTTGTTTGCCTTTGTTTTGGGTGTACTTATTTTATCTGAAAATGTCTTAA